CATCAAGTGCATCGCAAGTATATACCGAAGAAAGCCGAAAGACAAGCGAAGCTATGACAACAACTCTCATCTGTCCACTCACGGAAGGTACGGATTCTTAAACTGACTAATTGCTTTTTGAGAAACAATCTTCGGGAAAGATTCTAATGTCTGCAAAAAATGTCATTCGCTTTTTTCCTCATTTCTAATAATCCAGTAGGATACTGAACACATGTATTTTAGGTATGAATAACCCACAATACACGAATAATCCAATAATTAATGGAGCACCATCTACAACATCCCCATCAGATATTAATCCAGGTTCTAATGGTGTTGATTTCATTGAAGTGAATCCTTCTGTAATTATACCATTTGCACCAGGAACAACACCAATTATAGTGAAAGTTTCTGTGCCTAACACAAATACAAATGTTGATAAAATAACAGTTACTATCACAGAACCAAATGGTACAACTGTAGTCAATCAAGTATCACCTGGAGATACAAACAAAGTTGATACTTTTCCTATCACACCATTACCTGAGAATAGTACAATGACAGTAACTTTTGGAACAAATAATGGACAACCTCCGGAAAATGTAACTCTTTCTGTAATTGCTTGTTATGCACCAGCAACAACAATTGTAACTAGTGGTACTGTTCCACCAAGTGTTAGTGGATCTACTCCAACATTGGCATTTAGTTCAAGCAGTACTGCTGTAACAGAAGGTAAAGAATGTATATAATTATCGTCTTAGGACAATTGTATAAGAATGTATGATAAAAATGAGTATATCTTCGACAAGACAACTTTTATCTTGTTGAGATGTATGAGTGTGAATGTTCCTTCATTTTTTTTGCGCAATTTTATATTTTTCACTATTCCGACGAGATTGCATTTGGCAAGTATGAGATGCACGTGAAATAAATTTCATTGCTCTTGGTAATACGATAGATTCAAAGTAAGTATTATGAATGATCCACTCTCTTGCAACCGTTTTCGTATGAAACAGGATGAAATTTGTATTTTGGAACTTTTTCCTTCGTTAATGAAACCTTTGTGAGTTTGCTCCAATATACTTCTAAAATCCTACAACAGAGTTTCGATATTTGAATTTTCGAGTTTTGTCTGGAGCAGCGTTAACAGTATATTTAGAATTTAAGACTAAAGAAGTTTTCTCTTCTCTCATATAAGCACATATTTTCATTACTAGGAGTTAAATGTTATTATTTTCATGATAATGATCAGTTGCATCGATAATCTTTTCTCCATGATACTCTCAAATTCAGTCTTCATCTTGCTACTTTCTTGATGATGTTTTATGGTTTGACAAATAGAACTTGAAGAGAACATGACATTCGTTTAATGACTACAGACTTGAAACCATTCCTATGAAGCAAAGAAAAACCAATCAGTTGTAGTAGTGTAGGATCTCACTGTCCTATGAATTATTTGTTGTTCGAGAAGTGACTCTACTAGCGACCTATTTTATGAAACGTACATGGGGAGACCACTGCTTTTCCTATTTACTGAGTGAACTCCTAAGGACAATCGTAATGTAACAAGTCTATCTATCACTTCTTCTCCATCTCAACCAAATAAGTGGTTATCAGTTTGAGTTACTTTCATAATCACGGGATATCTGATACTACTTCAGTTTCTTGATGATGAGGTATCCTAAGTGTAGTTAGATTCGTTCGTTATGCCTTTGGAATCGAACAATGTATCCGTGAAATAGAGATGATGCTTGAAGATGTTTTTTAATAAATATGCTGCGTAACAGTAACATCAACTACAAACCTAGTTTAGCTACATTAGACAAACAACAAGTACACTATTTTAATTTTCAGCTCTTACAACAACAGGAGAAACTACTAAATACATAAGTGGCTCATTTGAATCTACTCCATCGACAATGTTCACAATGCCTTCTGCAGGATCACGTATAATTAAAGTCCCCAACACCCACGCTTAATATGCGAAATATTTATTGTTTTTTAGCTCAATCAAGTGCATCGCAAATATATACCGAAGGAACTCGAAAGACAAGCGAAGCTATGACAACAACTCTCATCTGTCCACTCACGGAAGGTACGGATTTTTAAACTGATTAATTGTATTTTGAGAAACAACCTTCGGGAAAGATTCTAATGTCTGCAAAAAATCATTCGCTTTTTTTGTCATTGCTAACAATCCAGTAGGATACTGAACAAATGTATTTTAGGTATGAATAATCCACAATACACGAATAATCCAATAATTAATGGAGCACCATCTACAACATTCCCATCAGATATTAATCCAGGTTCTGATGGTGTTGATTTCATTGAAGTGAATCCTTCTGTAATTATACCATTTGCACCCGGAACAACACCAATTATAGTGAAAGTTTCTGTGCCTAACACAAATACAAATGTTGATAAAATAACAGTTACTATTACTGAACCAACTGGTACAACTATAGTCAATCAAGTATCACCTGGAGATACAAACAAAGTTGATACTTTTCCTATCACACCATTACCTGAGAGTAGTATAATGACAGTAACTTTTGGAACAAATAATGGACAACCTCCAGAAAATGTAACTCTTTCTGTAATTGCTTGTTATACACCAGCAACAGCAACAACAATCGTAACTAGTAGTACTGTTCCACCAAGTGTAAGTGGATCTACACCAACTTTGACAATCAGTTCATCAAGTACTGGTGTGACACAAGGTACGGGAAATGCATACATGATTATCGTCTGAAGAGAAAGTAATAGGTAGTTAACTTTGAGAAGCGCGGAAGATATTTTGGTAACTAAAGGAAGGTGCTGACAAAGTCAGACATTGTTAACATTCAGTATGGTCGCACTATAGTTAAAACATTATTGTATTTTCTTCTGCTAGAGTTATTGAACTTCTTTTGGTACTAATGTTCCGTCTTGTGAAATGACCAAAAGCAAGGAGATTTTAGTTGAAATTCAGCCCATAATTGGGCTTCAGCATTCTTGGTATAACTACAAATTTTCGACCAAAATTAATGCTTTGTTACTGGGATGTGAAATAGAAAATAGTATGATGACATTTAATAAAATCAACTTTCTGTTTAACGTGCCATGTTTCGAAAAAGCATCATCGATTTTGAGTGAAAATTGTTGAGGCATTCATTCTAAAGTATATGAAACCTACTTTAAGACTAACTTTCGGATCAAAAGTTTTTTTATTCTTATGGACTCCATTATGGGAGCACTTTTTCAGATTTCATGAGAGTAGCCTTTATGAAAATCTTAAGCCAGATTTCATAAGATACCTATGTGCAATGCTCATCAGTAGCAATGAGAACATCAAAACTGCCCTTTGTGTCTGTAAAAAAACTAACCCGTAACATGGAAAATTGATGCCTACAAAATGTTTTCCAATATTAAGCAACCTATTATCTGATTCGAACGATAGCTATAAACTTTTTTTTTCATTCTGTAGCATGCCTTGCTTCCTTAAGCTGAAAAACTATTCGCTTTTGAATACAGCGTTTCGTTGCAATTTTTATGTCAACTCTTCTAATGTTCCTTCGAAGAGAGATTTGGCTTTCAATGGCTAAGATTGAATCCAGTCTACCTTCGAAGCGAGAACTTTGGTCTAGGTCTGATGCAATGAAATAAAAGATCGCCGTACTTTGTTTACGAAATTTGATTTTCTTTTATGAGCGTCAGGAACAAATTATTCAATCAATTAAAAGTATGAGTCAGTTAACTCTATTTGCTCGTTGTATCGACAAGCCAGAGATACGCCAATACAAGTACAAATTGTACTCTGCAAAGGTGTGGGTGCGGGTGAAGGTGTGGATGAGGATGTTGGTGTGGGTGTTGATCTCCGTCTCCGTCTGAGAGAATATCTGTATCCTACAATCACACCCACGCTCGGTAGTACATGACAGTACATACCAAGTAATTCCAAGTTTTTTTACCCAGTACAGGGTCAAAAAACCTAGAATTACTTGGTATGTACTCTCATGTACAGTCATGTACTGGGTCAAAAAGGGGCATGTTGTTTTTGGAGTACAATTTATACTTGTATTTGCGCAGCCCTCTCAGAAGTTGTGCTTTTTGTCTTCCATTATCAAGTCTTGTCGCATTTACTGTCATGCATTCGATAAGTCTTGGACAAACGTTTCTGCGTTCAGATTCACGAAATTGATACATCCTGCCTTTAACTTAATATTTTCAATTCACACCAACAAATCTATACATGTTGACAGTATGTTCAAATCTGTAGCGATTATTATTATTACTACGCGTTGTTTTTCATCAAAATCATCATATTTCACTGATAGTCCTTTTTTATGAGTACTCGAAGCTTCAATATTCCTTTCAATATATAGTTCATCCAACTCGATAATTCGAGAGATACAGAGTTTCAGCGCATGAAAGCGATTAAATCAAGAGAGAAACAGCTGATTATTGATTAGGGTTGATTAGGATTGATTAGACTTGATTAGGAATGATTAGGAAGATGATTAGCTCTAATCATCTCCCTAATCAAGTCTAATCAATCCTAATCAACCCTAATCAATAATCAGCTATTTCCATCTTGGTTTAATCGCTTTCAAAACTTGAAACATCTACTGTTGAACACAGTCTGCTAACATATTGGCTCAAAACTTTCTAAGAAAATGATGCTCTCGCAAAACAAAAGATGACATTTCTTCATATTTATCAATGTATATCCTTGTTGAGAATAGTCTAACCCATACAGCTGATATACTTTTTTCCATTAGCAGCTGCAACAACATCGGAAGGAACTACTAAATACATAAGTGGTTCATTTGAATCTACTCCATCAACTGCATTCAAATCATTAGCTACAGGATCAAGTATGATAAAAATTGATCATACTCACACTGAATATGCGGCATCTCTCTTATTTTCTAGTTCCATCAAGTGCATCGCAACTATATACCGAAGGAACTCGAAAGACAAGCGAAGCTATGACAACAACTCTCATCTGTCCACTCACGGAAGGTACGGATTCTTAAACTGACTAATTGTTTTTCGAGAAACAATCTTCGGAAAAGATTCTAATGTCTGCAAAAAAAATCATTCGCTTCTTTCCTCATTTCTAATGATCCAGTACGATACTGAACACATGTATTTTAGGTATGAATAATCCACAATACACGAATAATCCAATAATTAATGGAGCACCATCTACAACATTCCCATCAGATATTAATCCAGGTTCTGATGGTGTTGATTTCATTGAAGTGAATCCTTCTGTAATTATACCATTTGCACCCGGAACAACACCAATTATAGTGAAAGTTTCTGTGCCTAACACAAATACAAATGTTGATAAAATAACAGTTACTATTACTGAACCAACTGGTACAACTATAGTCAATCAAGTATCACCTGGAGATACAAACAAAGTTGATACTTTTCCTATCACACCATTACCTGAGAGTAGTATAATGACAGTAACTTTTGGAACAAATAATGGACAACCTCCAGAAAATGTAACTCTTTCTGTAATTGCTTGTTATACACCAGCAACAGCAACAACAATCGTAACTAGTAGTACTGTTCCACCAAGTGTAAGTGGATCTACACCAACTTTGACAATCAGTTCATCAAGTACTGGTGTAACACAAGGTAAAAGATGCACTTTTTTTCTTATTAAGAGAAATGTAGAATAAGTCAAGGTACAGGTTAATATACCTTTGAAAAGACAACTTTTGTTTGTTTGAGATGGCACAAACTTTTAGTTTCCGATTCTTTCTGGACGAACCTAGTTTTTGTTTTGTGATTGTTGTGAGAAATCATTCAGTGAGTAAGAAGTTTGTGTTAATTAACTTCTGTTATATTTCGTAAGAGAAAACATACTAAATCATTATCGTCAATCATATTTTCTCCAGTTGTTCATTACGCATGAAATTAATTCGACATAGACGCTTTAGAGCTTTTTGGTATTTTAACTATCCTTGCTCCAATCATTATAACATAGTCTCTAAATCGTGAACTGTAGCGTATGTATTCTGCCCTTCGAAAGCGACATGTAATAGCTGTAGTGTAATGGTTTGGATTTACGTCAATCAGTTTACTAATATATTCTATCTGTTTAAACGTATAAAGACTGTTAATATCTGCAAGCGTCGTTTCGGATTAGAATCATGAATTTCATCGATAGCTCTTTTCTTATCAGGACTCTAAACTTCAGGAATAGTTTCACTCGTGTTTTAGCCGAATTAGATATTCGGATAAATGTAGAGTGGAAAAAACATGACAACCCTTACTGAATTTAAAACTTGAAAACATCGCTCTTAAAGAAGTTCGGTCAACAGGGTGGGAGAAAACTTTGAAAGGAAACCCTTTTCAGGGTAACTAAGGTTAATGTTTTGTGGTATTCATCAATGAATATCCTTGTTGAAAATAGTCTAACCTATATATCTAATGTACTTATTTGCACGTAAACCACACGTACCCTATTTCCGTTTTCAGCGGCAACAACATCTGGAGAAACTACTAAATTCATAAGTAGTTCATTTACATCTCCGGCATCGGCTTCTTCCATCACACCTTCTACAGCATCAAGTACAATACAAATTAGCCATAGCTACACTTGATTTACATAATCTTTGTTATTTTCTAGCTCCATCAAGTGCATCACAAGCATATACCGAAGGAACTCGAAAGACAAGCGAAGCTATCACAACAACTATGATCTGTCCACTCACGGAAGGTACGGATTTTTAAACTGATTAATTGTATTTTGAGAAACAATCTTCGGGAAAGATTCTAACGTCTCCAAAAAAATCATTCGCTTTTTTTCTCATTTCTAATAATCCACTACGATACTGAACACATGTATTTTAGGTATGAATAATCCACAATACACGAATAATCCAATAATCAATGGCGCTCCATCTACAATATCCTCATCAGATATTAATCCAGGTTCTGATGGTGTTGATTTCATTGAAGTGAATCCTTCTGTAACTATACCATTTGCACCAGGAACAACACCAATTATAGTCACAGTTTCTGTACCAAACACAAATACAAATGTTGATAAAATAACAGTTACTATCACTGAACCAACTGGTACAACTATAGTCAATCAAGTATCACCTGGCGATACAAACAAAGTTGATACTTTTCCTATCACACCATTACCTGAGAATAGTAGAATGACAGTAACTTTTGGAACAAATAATGGGCAACCTCCAGAAAATGTAACTCTTTCTGTAATTGCTTGTTATACACCAGCAACAGCAACAACAATCGTAACTAGTGGTACTGTCCCACCAAGTGTAAGTGGATCTACACCAGCATTGGCAATCAGTTCAAGAAGTACTGGCATCAGTGGAACTACAGGTAGGAGAAGATGGAAATTTCTCGATTAAGCGAAGGTTTCAAACTAATGGCGTTTGCGGCTCGCTAAATATTACTGTGAGTGAGTGGAGACGAGAGAAGAAAGTATATGTAAGATAGTTACAGTATTGAGAAAAAGTGCGAGCCTTTGCATCAGAGATGAATTGAATATCGCTATGATGTTAATCGAGCAGAGCTAGTACCACTGTGATTGCAATTTTTGAAGCAGTCGAGCCATTACTTTCGTTTCATTTCGAAACTTTTTTTGCCAGGCTTTTGTTTGGCGTCTCTAAAATGAGCTGTGTTTTCACTGATTATTTGCTGGTTTAATATGCAAGGACGGATAAAGTTATTCATGGGTACAGGTTTTTGAATAGTCCATGCACGGTACATGTAGTGGTTGCTATTTTATATTCATGGAAATATTTGAGATATATCCTGAGCTCATATTTGAAGCGTTTTCAGTTGTTCTAGCGTGATGTTTTGGAATAGACTAGATTTCTCGGCTAGAAATATCTCTAAAATTAGTGTTGAAAGTTGGCTTTGGTTGGTTTTGATATAAAATGTTTTGCTGGGGAATAATGTCAAGTGTGTCTTTAAAGAAAACCGTCTGCTTTCTATAGTATGTGGAGACTCATCGTCTTCTCAAGTGTGATGAGAGAAAAAGAAGCAGCAAACGATAATTTATTACGTGAGGACTACGGAAATGTAGATTGTGTAACAACATGTCCTAACTTTTTTATGAGATGCCCATAAACTCTGAATACACTGAAAAGAACTCGTACCTTTAGGTTATTGCTACAGTGATTCTGTACTTTTGCGATAATTGTTAAATAAATCCCATGATTTTCCTCAGGAGCAGCAAAAAGCACTGATTTTCGAATTTCGACTTTAAACTTTTCATAGAGGCAAGCCTTAATAAGAATGGGTTTTTATGACCTTTTCACATTTTATCGCTGTCTTTATCGTCAGATACAGCTTTGATAGTAGCGTGGCGTTTATATCGCTTATCTGAATCGACAAATTTGATGTTCTTATTTAAACATAGAAGGAAATAAAAAGACTTGAAGCTTTCATAATTAACTACTCTTATTAAGACCTATCTCTATGCGAATTTTCTAGTCGAAATTCGAAAACCATCTTTTTCTAGTATTCCTGATGGGACCCACGATATGTGTTAAAAATATACCCTAAAAGTGAAGTATATCCGTAGTAATAAGCTAAGAGCATGAATTTTTCTCAGGGTATTGAAAGCTCATTTGAGCCTACATAATGCACATAGTCTCGACTCAAAAGCGACTTCTCAGTTGATAGACTTTTCTCGTTATTTAAGCAATTGACGAACTATTAACTCTTTTAAATTGTGTAAACAAGAAAACTCCTTGTGAAAAAAGCTATCATTTTTAAGGCAATAAGTGCTATATACAATCAGCTTTGTGACTTTCTGCATCTATTTAGATGCTGTCATAAGTTTTTTCTCTGTCATAATACATCTCTCGTATTCTCGTTCTCTCTATGATTACATGTAACTGTTGAATTTCCCCCTTTTCTTCATATATAAGATAGTTTTTTCCCTCAACTACCGCATTTCTTTCTGTCATCTTGTTTTATTATTCTCTGCCTTGATGCTTACCATGTGTTGAATCTCCCATCTGATCGATTTCCTACGTGTTTTTCATTCTATGTATAACTGAATTTTTAACTTTTCTGTACGACTAGTGGGAAAAATTGAAGACAGCCATAAACCATTTCGGAGTAGTACACCTGTTTTATGCTCTATGTCGATGTTACACAGCAAAAGTTTCCAAACGCTATCCTGCAAATTCGCTGAAATGGGAGTTACTTTAGTGCAAGTATATCCTAAGAAATGTTATTTAATGAAAAAGTCGACTATAGTTCGCTGAAATTTGATGTTATAAAACTACTTAACAATCAATAATGGACATTTACAATGAAAGTTGAGTAGCTTTTCCCAATGGAAGGAGTTCAATGATATAAAACGTAATACATCTTGATTCACTGTTACTTGAAACTTTCCATTAAAATATTATTCGACAGACTGTAGTAAACCACTCAAACTCTAGACGGTGCAAATACATTTTAATTCGCAATCTATATTCAGAATAAAAATGAAGTTAGTTTTTTCAGCATGAAAGTGTATTCAACTGTCTAGAATATTATCAATTTAATTCGCTCTGAGTCTTATTACGGCACCAAAAATGTCGTTCTACATTTTATTATATAATATGAATATCTCTAGAACGACAAGCAATAAATGACTAAATTTTTTAACTACTAATACAAGTCTAAGATCTATGTTGAAGTAAAAATACCATGGAGAACAGATAAACCATTCTAAGGTTATCCGTGAAGAAATTTCCAAAATGTCGTTCCAGAGAGTGACGAAAAAGCGACGCTTTGAAAAAGATATCTTTTGTTATACCGAAAACGAGAGATACTAAAAAGAAACTTTTTATCAGTTATCTTTCCGAGACAACCTTTCCTTTAAATAACTTCAATTTGCATTAACTTATACGCAGACGAATAAAATAAAAACTGTGTCACTGTCCACGAAAGTGAGAAAGTGTGTGTCATACGATAATTCAGATTAATGCGCATGAAAAGAAAAAGAGAGAAAAAGGAAAGATATATGACTTGATAAAACACTTCAAGTTCCACAAAATCGACTATTTATTGTGTGTATTCCTACCATCGATTTGTACAAAATTTCTTTTTCTTAGCGCATCTTTCTATGAATAAGAACTTTTCAGCATAAGGCCAACAACTCAGCAACCATATTAGTTAGGACGCTGAAACTTGCTGCGTACTTGAGACGGTCGGAGAGCAATAATACGTGGGAAAACGGCTCGAATACCTCAACACGAAAGAAATCTATTAACCAGACACAGCTAATATTTCAATCGTAAAAAATTTTCAATTCAGCCATATAGTCATATAGCATCAGCACGATTAATATATAGAGGTATTCTGAGAACGAAAGTAAATCTAGGACAAACCACACACAAACGCTACGTCGATTTTGAAACCGTTCTTAACCAACTCAAAAGCAGAGAGCATATTCCAGTTGTGATCAGATTCATAACTCACATACTTCTACATGATACATTTACTTATGGGTTCAATCTAAGCCAAAAATTTCCAAAAAACCAACAAAATTTCGAGCTCTTCCAACGGGAGTCGTTTTTCGTCGTTTCAGTTTTATCGTATTTCCATTCGGTTACGTCGCGCGGTACAGTATACTGAATCCATTCCCTATTTGACTCAGTGCCATAATCAATCATATACAGTATTGAACATCACTTACGATAGCGAACAATGATGCGCACTGGCATCACACTTTCGCAAGAAGGCTATCCAATTAGACACCGAAACGCAAATTGTACTCTAGGATTCTAGACAACGTTCATACATTATCTGCCTCACTAGGTACTTCGATCCAACCGACCGCTTCCACTAGTGAACGGCCATCATCACAAACCAGTAGTCCAGAGCAGACAACTGTGTTTCTGAAGATCGAATCAGCAACGCCAGGAACTCAAGGTACAACAACACTAACCGCAGTAGGTTCTACGACAGTAGTTATTACACCGTCTGCTACAAGTACTGCAGCAACAGCCACATCAAGATCAAGCATCGCACCAGGAATCTCCCAAACTTCAGCTGCATTAACTGCCAGTACCAGCACTGGAGAGGTACCAACAACAATCAGCACACCCAAAACTTCACCAAGCGCAGCCACCCTAACTACAGCCACAGGAAGCACAATCGCTCCCACTGGCAGCACGGAAACATCAATAAGTCGAACTATCGGCACCGAAAAAACGACTACCGGGTCAGGAAGCACTGTAGGAGCGTCCATCGGAACCGTTACTACAGAAGCAGCAACAACGCGTATAGGAACGACCGAAAGAACATCGATCGGAACTGTCGGCATTGAAGCAAGTACCATAGGCACTGGAAGTACAGAACGAACATCCACCGGAACAGTGGGTACTGAAGCAACCGCCATGGGTACTGGAAGCACTGAAAGAATGTCGATCGGAACTGTTAGAGCTGAAGAAACAACTCAGTCTACAACAAGCACCGAAAGAACATCAATCGGGACAGCGTTCAGCGAGGGAGCAACACCGGGTACTGGTGCCACTGAAGGAACAATCAGACCTGGTGAAAGTACGGAAAGAGCAACGATTGGAACAGTCGGCACACAAAGAACATCAGTCGGAACAGCAGCTACAGAGGTAGCAACAGCCGGTACTGGAGCCACTGCAGGAACAATCAGAGCTGTTGAAAGTACGGAAAGAGCAACGGTTGGAACAGTAGGCACAGAAAGAACATCACTCGGAACAGGAGTCAGCGAAGGAGCAACACCTGGTACTGGAGCCACTGCAGGAACAATCAGACCTGGTGAAAGTACGGAAAGAGCAACGGTTGGAACAGTTGGCACAGAAAGAACATCACTTGGAACAGGAGTCAGCGAAGGAGCAACACCTGGTACTGGAGCCACTGAAGGAACAATCAGACCTGGTGAAAGTACGGAAAGAGCAACGGTTGGAACAGTTGGCACAGAAAGAACATCACTTGGAACAGGAGTCAGCGAAGGAGCAACACCTGGTACTGGAGCCACTGAAGGAACAATCAGACCTGGTGAAAGTACGGAAAGAGCAACGGTTGGAACAGTTGGCACAGAAAGAACATCACTTGGAACAGGAGTCAGCGAAGGAGCAACACCTGGTACTGGAGCCACTGAA